AGAAAAAAAAAAAAAAAAAAAGAAAAGAAAAAGAAAGAAACGTGAAAAAAATCGGATCGACACGGCGGTCGATCTGTGATAGCCGAAAATCGGGCAGAGACCGCACGCAAATAGCTTATATCGGTGTTTAATATCACGCTTACCAACAACCTCGAGGAACAGAAATATACTCGTGGGTGGATGGGTGGATACTTGGCACTGGTACAATCCAGCATCCCTCGGTTGAACGTATTTTATTTGAAGAGTCCAATCCTCGCTGTGGTGGAAATGAATTGCCTGGAAACGCTCGTCGTTCGCGTACGTTGTCAGTCCTACGGTGAGTAACTCCTGGACGTTCTTCCGCTTGATCCACGACACCTGGAGAACCAGCAAAAAGACTCGTTAACAAGAATAAATCCCAGGCTCCGGGCCAGAATTGGTCCGTGAAATTGTGAGCCGAGAAAAAGAAGGATCTGCCTGCCCTAATGACAAGGGATTCGGTTTTATATCTACGCCTCTTTGCATGAAGCTGGTTAAAAATTTCACGGACGGAACGCATGCCCCGCCTTTATCCCGGAACGAATTTTTCATCATTTGTACCCCTCTATCCCCTCCCCTCCCCTCCTCGCTAAATTGGAAATGTTCTTCCTCCGCTAAAAATCGTTCGATGAAAAACGAAGGGGAAGTAATTTAGTTCCCTTCTATACGTAGCTCGTTCTATCGACAAATGTGCTCCGTAACAGGTCCAGATTTTAATTAATCGCCGATGCTTCTCCCCGTGTACAATAATTCGCAACTATCGGATTCTATCGGATGGCAGCGGGGAAACGATTTCTTCGAAATAAGCTACCTTGATATTGCTCCAAGGAACAAATAAGCTTCGTGTCTGCTCGCGACGCTCACTATTCACTTCCACGTAATATCGAGCTCTCCCCGGCCTCTGCCATTGTCCGTCTATTACGGTCAGTAACTACTGGTGTCCCGACAGTTACGGCGGGGTACTAGTACGCCGCCATTAGTCACGGTATTTTCTATCTACATGGCGGTGTCCATTTTGCAACGGTCATTAACTCTTCTTCTCCCTCTTCTTCTTCTTCTTCTTCTTCTTCTTCTTCTACGCGTCGATCGACTCGTGTTGAATCCTTTTGAATCGATATCGAAGAAAATAACCTCTCGAAAACGTAAAACCTTCCTCGAAGCGAAGGAAAAAAAAAAAAGGTTGGAAAAAGTGATACTGGACGATGTAACGTTACGTGTACGGATCAATCTAATAATTTTCCAACGATATCGCGATGCACGCGAGTTAAATCTTTCCTTTTCCACCATTCTCATTAACAGATTCGAAAAGTTTACGAAAGTGTAACTATCGATTCGCCATTCCGTAGTTGCCTAACTTTCGAGGACCAGTAACTGGCCGGTAAATACCGTACACGTATTACAGTCAGGTAAATGTACTACGTCAATAACGATCGGTAATTGCCCTACGCGAACTCTCACTTGATTTCGTGTAGCCGAGTGTAAGCAAGAAATACCTCTCGACCAGAATAATTTCTACAACTGTGACGCGGGATGATTGCTCGATTCGTGACCGGAATTAATCGAACCTCTTGGTACCACGCACTACGAGTACGCTACGTGTTTATTCGATAAATCATCTATTGCTACTAGATTCCGATCATTTTCGAGATATAAACTTCCCTTCCCTCCTCGTTACCTTTGAATCGCTCCTTTGGAAAGTAGACACAGTATCCAGGCGGAGAGATCACGAATAGAGGGATAACGGTAATACTGCTTAGGTAATATCAACGTACAACCATTATTTTACAAGTTTTAAACGATGGCACACGACTTTGAATACTCTTTATAACTTCCGAACGAGCCCCATTTCAGCGGATGTAACTTTATACGTACGTATATATTATAGCAGTTCGAATTAGTAGTTCGGCATGAATACGACGCGTGTCGTATGCATCGCGTATCGATAAAAAAGAAAAAAAAATTCAAATAAAGAATAGTTATCCGCAACAAGGATTAGATTAAAAGTTGACGCAATGCGGGCTCGTTGGAATAAAAGGTAACCGCGCAAACGTGACGGTTTTTTCCCACGTTTCGCGCTCAACATTTGCCCCCCTCGAAATATCGACGCGGGCGTACAATTTATAAAACTTACACCACGCATAGAGGCAATTCGGGGTTGTAAATAGGCGAGCCATTGTAAATGTACCGTGACTTTTATTCCAACCGAGGCGATCCAACGACCATTTCCCTCGTTTCACGCCTGGCTTTCCCCCGCTTATTTAAAACCGAGCAACCCTATTGCAAGAAGTGCCATCAACGAGGATAATCCTTCGAGGTTCCCGCGATATGATGGAATACTCGGAATTGGCCGTGAAACGTGGGAAACGAGGGAGGGAAAAAGTAGATCTCCGTCTCAGACGATAGCGTCCCTCTCGACGTCTTTATACGTCTATAGTAAAGTTTTAGGCAGCTGGTAACGAGATATATACGAGGTGTATATATATATCTCGTGCCGTGAGATTGAATTCCCGGTGTTTGTCTCTGCACGAAATGTATAATCCCGATCGAATGACGTAACGAGAGTGGGAAGAGAGTTAATCTTTTCCTTGCTCCTCCTTCAAAAGGATCGGTCAATTACGTCTTCCCTCTGCTTTTAATCTTTTAATTTACTCTGGGAAAAAAGTGGAGGGGAAGGAAGAGAAGAAGAAGAAGAAGAAGAAAAAGAAAAGAGAAAGAAAACCGAAATAATCCAGCGAGCCGTACCACTTGTATCGAGGAAACGCAAGGTACTTCTCGTCTCTCCTCGAAACGATATCAAACACTCAACGAGAGATTAAATGGAATGATTCGGCTGCCACGGGTGAGGAGAAGAATTACCCATGGCTCGTAGAGGTAGAAAAATTGACCGTGAGATTGGAAAGGGAGGAGGAGAAGATTTGTCTTGGAA